TAGACCTTTCTATACACTTCAGTAAAAGTGGAGCTTGAGGTCTCTTTCTCCCCTTGTCTTACCGACGCTATCAGCATAATTGCTTTCACTACTTTCGAGGAAATCACAAGTGGTACTGTTTTAGAGATCCTATTCCTTCTTCAGGCATTCGTCCTCTACGCTAGCCACCAATCACCTATCGTTCTCTGTCTCTGCACCCTCATCCGCCTCCTCCACTCCTACAATCCTCATCCACAATTAAGGCCAGTAACAGGGTATTCATCGCCCTGTCCTTTGACGCCCATTACCTCCAGTTTCATGACCCTTATCGTACACAGCCTACTACCAGCACAATTTTCTTGGAATAAAATTATCGAAAATGTTGGCAAGTGTCTCCCTTTCCCTTATACACTCCGGCCTTCAGTCTAAAATAAAAATGCCACACTGGGCCAGTGGCGTTAGTTCCTCGCAATTCTGCTGAAAATTACTATCACTACTTTAAAGCATGTTCGACTTTGAGTGCAGAAAATTTGTTGTCGATGCAAAAACGAATCTGCCATGCCTGCATACAGCAATGCAACAATTAATCGTTCCTGTGTTTATGTATTCTTGCCTTTGCCTAACTGCTGTACATTTATTACTGGTCAGTTAAAAGCCAACCATCTGCTCAAGTCGATTCGTCGAGGCATTATTGTGGAACAGTGTAGTGCAGAAATTGTGGCGGTTTGTTACGTCTCGCAAAGCGGACAAGCCCAAAACACAGCCACTGGGCTTAAATGCCATTCCTCAACGTCAGGGCCTTAAGATGTATGAACAGCACAAAACTTGGTAGGGTGAGCGAGGCAAACACTCAATAGGCACTTGAATGCCCTCTACGAGTTCCTACCAATTCCAACAGATAGAACGCACATGAACCTCACTTATTGCCTAATGAGTGCGACAAATGCGCTTGTCGCTACACCTACGCAATCATAATTAACCAAAGTTCCTGTCGTTTTACAGACCCAGGGGAATGACTTGCACCGCCATATGGGCACGTGAGAATTTGCCCGTAAAATATCCTTGAGCAAAGTAGAATTCACCACCAATAATTGCGAACACAACATTAAATGATTGTGGCAAATTTATTATTGGTGGTATTTACAATATTAACATTAAGAAATAAAATCTTGTTCACGTTCATTGCAATCTCTAGGAAGTGAATCGTAAGTTGATCCAGACGAGGTAAGGTTGTTTGATTTGACCTGTGCCGTGCGCCTAGTACGCATTGCACAGAAGGTCACTGTCTATCCCCGCAGAGGCCATTGGCTAGCCAACGGGGTGGGTATCACTGGTCTCTGGCTCCTTGTAGTTCGACGCCACGTCAGAAGAAGCAGCGTCCACACCTTCGAACACGATGAAAGCAAAGTGTGTCAACAAAGTCACCAGCACCATTCTTCTACAGCCACGACATCACGACAATTCTTTAGCCGCTGGCAGAGGTTGGCATAATAAGAAGTGGCAGTACCTACAAAATACACTTAGCATGCGACTAATTTCACAGGAAAGCAGTTTTGTTTATTGGAGGAATTTAACAAGAGCTCTCTTGAAACCAAATTCTGCATATTAATTTAGATTAAGCGGGTACAGGACAAATGATATGAATCACCAACAAATACAGGCAAAGCTTTTAGTGTCCGAATCCACTTATCTGCAAAGAATTATTTTCGATCGACAAGGTTTTCCATAAATTTATGAAAAGCATGACAACCAATACACTATGAATTTAAAACTGAATGCCTTAACGGGTAGTGCCTGCCAGCAAATCAGAGCAATAATAGGTTATGTTCCCAAATGCTTGCAGACAAATTTAAAAAAGTAATGCAAAGGCTAAAAATTTTGCAGCAGCAGCAGCAGCACGAAAAGGGAACAGAGTTACCTTTTTGGCTGCGTCGGCAGCAAAACAGTCGTGCGTTTCACTGAGAGCAACTTGACACAGTCAAAGGCAGCTCCAAGAGGAACCGATGGGGTCAAGCACTAATTCCAGCGGATTTGCACGTAGTGAGAGAGAAGGCGTGATGGGAGGCGCAACTCATCGACCTTGTGCTCTACCAAGCAAAGAAGGCAAAGCGGTGAACAAATAAGAAAATACTGATATTTGAGGAGGAGCAGTGGGAAAGCACTCACAGAAAGCCTGCCAAATTTGCACAAGAAACCTGCCAGAGCATCACAAGAGCTGGAGTAAACGAGCAAAAGCTCCAATGCCCACCGGTTCCGCCACTTAACAAATAAAATAGGGAATGAAGCAATTCTCTTGTTCCAAATCCAGTTCACCATTTGTCATCAAGGCTCCGCTCTATACGACCTGCTCCATACTAATGCAGCACTGCCATAAGGAGAAACCGCCCTGCAAAAGCAACGCAGAACACTGCCAAAGAGGACGCAATGGCAGGTCATGAAGCCCTAGTGGAGTGAAAAACCAGGCTCTCCACATTCCCCTTTCTCTCCTTTCAAGCCATTGTCACTATGACGCACAAGGGAAATTGATTGCACAAACACCAAAGGAAAGTAGCAGAGGTTCTAATGCCTATTATTTTAGCAATGAAGAAAA